CGGAAGGATCTCCGGAGCCCAGCAGGGCGAGGCTGCAGTGGCCGGAAGTGCCACCACACTCCAGTCTGGGCGACAGAGTGAGACTTTACTTCAAAAAAAAAAAAAAAAAAAAAAAAAGAGTCACTAGGGGCCAGGCATGGTGGCTCACACCTATAATCCCAACACTTTGAGAAGCTGAATAGGAAGGGTTGCTTGAGGCCAGTCATGGTAGTTCACACCTATAATGCCGACACTTTGGGGGCTGAGGCTTCTAGAAGGATCACCTGAACCCAGGAGGTCAAGTCCACAGTGAGCCATGATCATGCCACTGCACTCAAGCCTGGGTGACAGAATGAGACCCCAACTCAACAACAAAATAAATAAATAGAGTCACTAAACGTCAACCCCAAAAGGATACACACTTTTCTTCCCTGTTGTATCCCCAGCACCAAGAACAGCACCAAGAACAGCAGCTGTTCAATAAAGACCTGAACGGACAAATAAATACAGTCCTTTGTCCCTTATCATACTCTGTGAAGGACCTACTAATATCTCATGTTCAGATGGGAAACCACACATCTGAGAGGATACCTCTGTGAGCTTTAAAGGTGTATCAATGTGACTCTATATACGTTCCAAATCGATCCTTAATATCTGGCTGGATATTTCTGCAGGAAATGCTGGCAGAAAGTAAAAATACGCCCCCTCATTTGTCTGGAAAAGGTGAAGGTGGGTTTCCCTTTACTGTCCTAAGTTTGCCTGCCCCCTCTTCCTATGTCTGTACCCCCAGGCCCCAGCCTGCTCCCAGATGCCCTTCCCTCTGGCCCAGGACAGCCAAGAATTACGTGGGACAGGACACGCAGCCGTCGTCGTGTTCATAGAAGCCAGGCAGGCAGGGCCCACAGTCAGCGTCTCTGCGGGAGCCTGCAATGCAGGAGGGGCGTGGGTTAGCATGGGACAGGAGGGGGACAGGGAGAAGGGGGCTTGGGAACAGATAGTCCCATATGCAGGTACTCACAGGGCAGCCGTGTGTGGCGGTGCAGGGCCCTGCAGTCAAGGCACGGGCGGCAGTAGAAGGGGGAGCTGTTGCTGCATCGATTGACCTTGCACTCCACAAACCAACCTGGTTCACAGCCACACTGGGTGTTCGCCACTGCTGAGCAGTTCTCCAAGGCCACCTGGGAGGCTGGTCGGGGCCCAGGGAGATGGGAGGGCAGAGGTGGTCAGGGCAGATCCCCCAGAGAATGGAGACAGGAATGGGCCAGAGAGAGCGAGACGGAGACAGGGCTTCCCTCAAAGATAGAGAAGCTCTGAAATGCCGCAGACCAGAGGCCAGGGCTGGTGGAGAGACGGGAAGGTCACCGGGAGAGAGAAGAGGCAAAGGCACCCTGGAGCAGGACCATGGGGGAGGTTCTTCCAAGGGTGGGCACAGACCATCCAAGCCAGCCACTTCCTTCAGAGAGACCCTGACCAGGGCCTGCCCTCAGGAACCCCCTTCCAAGCACTGGGAAGCCCCTCACCCTGCTCATCACAGATCTGGCAGCGTGTGCACTCAGGATTGTAGTGGTTCTCCCTAGTCAAGAAGGTGTTCCAGGGGCACAAGATGCAGGTGGAGTTGCCACAGGGCTCTGTGCAGGGGGCCTTCAGGTAGTGCCCTGTGGAACCCAGGCAAGGGTCAGACAAAGGCGCTGCCCAGTACCTCCCAACCTGCTCCCTATCACTCCTTCTCTATCTCTGGCTCCCTATTTCCCTCCCAGTCCACACGTCTCTCCCATCCCAGCTTCCTCACCCTGCTTCCCAGGCCTGCCTGTCCCCTCCCCCAACCCCCCACTCTTAAAGCCACCTACCTGCTGGACAACCTTTGCAACAAAACAGTCCACTCTTCTTCTGGAAGTCACCGGCACAGTCACACCTGGGGCTGGGCGTGCTGCCCTGGGCCTGGGCACCCAGCAGCACCAGGAGCGCCTGGGGAGAGGTGCCTCTGACTCCCCCGGCAGGTGACCCACCTGGGCCTTTCCCGGCCGTCTCCTCCACGTCAGAGGAGGAGCGTTAGCCTGCAGAGTAGCCTGCTTCTTGGGCCCCTGGGCGGGGGTGAGACTCACTCCCTGGCCCCAGTGCACACAGCAGGCCTCCAAGGAACAAGAGGGGGCTCCTGCCAGCCCCTCCACCAGGGCAGGGATCAGCAGCACCCCCAACCCCACCCATGCTTTCTGCTGGAGGGACACTGGTTCTTCTCTGCCTGGGGCCCCCAGACCCCTCTGGTCCCTGGGAGGGGTTTCCTCTCAGCGGAAGGGCCCCGCCCTAGCAGAGCCTCTAACTAGGTCGGAAGGGGCGGCCCTCCCAGCCTCCAGTGAGGCCCAGAGCAGAGACTTGCCTTGGGGGCCCCTTTCTTCACCGAGGCTCTCAGGACTGGACCTAGGGCAAGGCTCGAAGCTGTCCTCGGCCTCTCACGTCCCCACTCACCGAAACCACCACCGCCACCACGCAGGCCCCCGGCCGCAGCTCCATGGCCCTCCACGCGGCGCTGGGCCCCCGACGGGCGGGCGTGCGCGCCCCAGGGAGGTTCCTGGCTCCGCCTGCTCTACCCATCAGGGTTCCGCATCCAACCCAGAGCCCAGGGACCGCCCCGTGCCAGGGAGAAGGGACCGCCTCAGGGGTGGGGGGCAGGGCGGGGCTGTGGCTCTTGGAAGCAGAGCAGGACGCTGCCAAGCCCCACAGAGTCCCCCAGCTGCACGGGACAGGGCTGCGTCCCAGTCCCCGCCCCTGAGTCTGGCCCCAACCCCAACAACCACTTCCAGATGGAGTCAGGCCAAGTGACTTCCCCTCTCTGGGGCTCAGAGCCCCCAGACACGGAGGGGTTTGGCCAAAAACTACCCGAGGGACCCAGGCGGGAGACCCACCTTCCCCGGTGCTTGCCTAGGTGGGGGTACAGGGGTGGACTCTATTCCAAGTCCTCGAGAGCACCCTGTGTGAGGCTCTAATGGTGGAACTCACTGCCAAGGCAGGGAAGAGTATTGGGGTGCTGGTCTGGCGACACCCCCCCCATGACTTCATGGCCCAGTCCCACGGGGTGTTCCATCGGCGGCCCACTGCAGATGAGGGACACAGGAGCACAGGGAGCTCAAGTGTCCCTGAGTCAGGAAGGCGGTGGGCCCCAAAAGCAATGGACTCTTCCCAGTGGAGTATATACAAGTCTTTATAAAAGAACCAGAAGTTCAATAAATATGAACTTTACACAGAGCCCAACCCAGCCAAGCCTGCAGTGGCCAGTGGGACTGGGGGGAGGCAGGGGCACATCCCACGAGGCCAGATGAGGGTGGCGGTGGGAAGGACAGCTGGGATCCCAGCCCAGGGGGTCAGAGCTGGTGACTTCAGGGAGGAGAGACAAGGAATGCCAGTAGTAGGGAGGGGACACTGTAGCCGGGGCCTGGGGCTCTACTGGGCCATCCTCCACTCCATCCAGTCTGGCAAAGTGCAAATCGGGCCCGGGTATAGATTTGTAGGGGTCCTGTCCGGCGCTCCAGCTTGTGCACATGTGAGGCAGCAACTGAAGCAGGTGCTGGTACCCCGGGAGGCATGCTGGCTGCTGTCCTTTGGTCAGTGGCACTCTTGGGGGCCTCCCTCTGCTCAAACCTCCCTGCAGGTGGGGAGACAGTCCTTCCTTGGCTGCTGCTATTCACAGAATGGCTGTGCCCACCTGCTCGCCTCCTCTGGCAATCCTCAGGCCCCTTCAGTGCAGACCACCATAGCCCCCAGCACCCAGGCCCTGGGGCAGGGCTAGGCCTCCTCTACCATCACTGTCTCCAAAGCCGATGCTCCCAGCCATAACTATACCTTGTGACAGCACCCTGAGCCACCTGCCCCGTACCCCAAGCCAGGCCACTCACGAGGCGGTGAGCGTGGAGTTAAGCAGCAAGGTGGTCCTGATTCGGTAGAGCTGGGCCAGGGTCAACTTCCTGTGTTGGGCAGAGGCCCCTGGCGGGGGCTCAGGCTGAACCCTGGGCGAGGCCCCCGAGGGCAGCTCTCCACACCTCCTCCTGGTAGGGCCTGCAGTCAGGCAGCTAGCTCCGTCTTCGGGCTCTGACAACTCAGGGCCGCTGCCAGGGCTGGGGGCCCCCCGGCAATCCCAGCCAGGTCTAGCCTCCCGAGGGGAGACCTGAGTCCTAGCGCCTGGGGCTGGAGTGGCCAGGCAGAGCTCTGACAGGCTGCGGCTGGGGGAGGAGGGCGCTCCATGAGTGCCAGCAGCGGACAGCAGCTGTAGGAGGCTGGCCTCCGATTTGGACTTGAGCAGGTGGGGCAGGCGAGGCAGCAGCTGGACAGGGGTGCGGCGGCGGAGGCGGGGTGAGGGTTGCGGGGAGTGGGCATGTGGGGACTCTGGGGCCCGGGGCACTGGCTCTGTCACAGGGGCTGGTGCCACAAAGTCTTGCAGGGAGGTTGGGGAGAGGGTGCCGTAGGCGGAGTCCATGGAGCAGGAGCGGCCGTCCACCGCGCCCAGAGGCAGCAGCTCACTGGTGGGCGTAGCAGATGAGGCAGTGGTGCTAAGAGAGGTCTCATCGGACTGGGAGCTGAAGGGGCCCCCTTCGAACTCAGGGGAGGACAGCATCTCCCCAGGTTCCACCACAACCATAGCCAGGGTCTCCGTGGAGCCGTCCGAGGCACTGTGGGGCCAGGAGGGAAGTCAGCCCAGTCTAAGGAGACCCAGATGGCCTGAGGCTGCCCTGTGCTGGGCAGTGTCGGGCAGCTTATAGCCTCTGCCCTCTGGGAGCGCAAAGCTCAGAGATGACAGTAGGTGGCACGTGTGCCAGGCCTTCCAACTCCTGTGCCCACAGCAGACATCAGTAATGGATCCCATCACTCTTTCCTACAGAGCCTGGATGTGGGTTAAGAACTCTTGGCACAGTGCTCCAGGTAGCTACCACTAAAGGACCGGAGTTGGCAAGCAGGTGGAACAGTGATGCCTTCTCTGCCTGGACTTGGCGGGAGACAGAGCCCCATCCCCACAGGGTGGACCACAAGAGGCCACTAGAGGAAGGGGGCGTGGCTGGGCCTTCAGGAGTTCTGAGCTGGAGTACGTGCTCTGCTGTGCTTGCATACCTGTGCTGGGAGTCGGGGCTGTCGCTGCCTTTGCGCAGGATGGTGGGGGAGCTGGCAGCCGAAGTGCTACTCTCCTCGCCTTCCTCCCCCTCCTCCTCCTCCTCTTCCTCCTCCTGTTCATCCTCCTCCTCTTCCAGGCTCTGCAGGTGCTGCTGGCTGCCTGGGTGCTCCTGCGCACGCAGCTGCTGCAGCTGGTTCTACATGCAAGCGTTGGGGTGCACAGGGAAGAATGCGCCGAGAGATCAGAAGGCCCCCCAGCCTGCCCTGCCGCCCTCACACCACTCCCCTCTCACCTGGGCATTGTAAATGGCGTCCACCCAGCCCCGGCACAAGGCCTGGCCGCTGGCCTGGAATGTGTAGGCCCCCACAGCGCTGTGAAACTCATTCAGGTAGATGAGGAGGAAGGAGCCTGGTTGGGGAAGGGCCGAGTCAGTGTCCCCCAAGACGACAGCCCCACCCAGGACGGCCCCGGCCCAGGAGCAGGGTGGCAGGGCTCCTCACCAGGGTCCCGCAGCTCCCGGCACACGATCCTGTCCACCAGCAGTGGCGGCCTGATGACCTTGGTCCTCTCGGCCTTCTTCACTGCCTTGGTCACCAAGAGCAGATCCGTGAAGAGGAAGCAGTACACATCCATCTGGGGTGGGGAGTAGGAGACCACCAGGATCCTGGGGCTGCCGGACCAGCCTCCCCTGGGAGCACTCAGTTTTTGTCAAATCCCCCTCCCCCCATGAACCTTGGGGTAACATTCAGATGAAGCCGGGTACGGTGGCTCACACCTGCAATCTCAGCACTGTGGGAGGCCAAGGCGAGAGGATTGCTTGAGCCCACAGGGTCAAGACCAGCCTAGGCAACATAGCAAGACCTTGTCTCTACAAAAAAAAAATATTAGCAGGGCATGATGGTACGTGCCTGCAGTTCCAGATAATCAGAAAGCTGAAGCAGAAGGATCGCCTGAGCCCAGGAGATCAAGGCTGCAGTGAGCCATGATTGTGCCACTGCACTCCAGACTGGGCAACAGAGTGCGATTCTGACTCAAAGAATAAAAGAAAATAAGAAAAGAAAAAGGGGCCGGGTGCAATGGCTCATGCCTGTAATTTGGGAGGCTGAGGTGGGCGGACAGCTTAAGCCCAGGAGTTCCAGATCAGCCTGGGCAACACAGCAAGACCTCATCTCTACAAAAATAAAAAACTTAGCCAGAAGTGGTGGTGTGTGCCTGTAGTCCCAGCTACTTGGGAGGCTGAGTGGAAGGATTGCCTGAGCCCAGGAGGTTGAGGCTGTGGTGAGCCGTAATCATGCCACCGCACTCCAGCCTGGGCGACAGAGCGAGACCCCCAACTCAAAAAAACAAAACAGTAAACTGCAGGCAATAACCACAAGCACTGGTTCTCGACTTCATCCCGCTGACAGGTAAGAACCGCGGACAGGGGTCCGACAGGTGCTCAGGAAGGACAGGGTAATGGGGCGGCGGGCCGGGCCCTGGGATCACCTTGCTGTCCTTCCCCTCCTTCATCCTCAGGCTCCCTTCCAGCAGCAGCTGTCGCGTCTCCTCAGGGGAGGCACCGGGGATGGGTGCGGTCAGGTCCAGGTGCAGAAATTCCTTCAGGAGCTGGGGGGGGAGAGTGGGTGCAGAGAGACCAAGTCTGACTGGCATCTCGGCCCGAAGTCCCCCGCGGCACTCCCAGCCTAGCTGGTCTGCAGCTTGGCCCACCGAGCGGATCCCTCGCCCTCCCCACAGCCGTGTGCCCACCTTGTCCACCTCGTCGTTGCTGCCCTCCACCACCTCGTAGGCGTCGATGCGGCTCACCACGGCCGCCAGCCGC